GAGGAATTCCCTCTCGATTTTCTTGATTTTCCCCATTTCCACTTCTGTCACGTTGCTTGCAGCATTTTATCTTATTAAATTCCTGCTGGCAAACGTGAGCGAGTAAGCTGTCCTTCTCCGTCTGTTCCTCTGAGCGACAGCCGTGCAAATTTAGTCGCAAATTGGCAAAAGGAGTGCAGCTGAAAGGCGACAAGTTGTTGCAGAAGGTCCTGGTCTCCACACACGTGGGCACAAAAAAAAATCAATGCCACTGCAAAAAGTTCAAAATGCCAGCAAAGGAAGAACGTAAAATACCCTATTCAAATAATGTAATAGATACCTGCTTAAACCATTCTTTTATCGCTGTAGCCATTATAATTAAATGAATCGCTTTATATATTTAATTGGTTAATTTAAAATTTAATTAATTAAGGGGTTTTTTTTAAATAAAAACCTGTAACTAATATCTCATGCATATTTTCCTAACCAACAATTTTCGCGGACTCTGCTTAATTATTTGATCAAAGCCACCACCGCCGTAAAAGATATCTAAAAAGCTTACAAAGTGAGCAACAAGTAAGAATCACCCCACCCTTGAAAATACCCCAAAATAGGAAAAGGGAAATTCCCCAAAAAAAAACAAACAAACCTTTTTCTGCTATTTGCTTAATTAAATGCACAAAGGGAAGGGGAAAGGCCACGCGGTCCTCAAATAGTACGCAAAGCTCAAAATAATCAACAAAAATTTCTATGGAACGAGAAAGAGAACAGATAAGTAAGAGTGTATTTGATTACAAAGCATTAATAAGAAGCGGCTGCTAGAGAAAGGTAAAAAAGCATTGAGGATAAAGCCGGAGAAAAGCCACGCCAAAGAAAAGTCCTTTGGCAAACAGCCGCAGTTGGAAATGCCGCAAATGGGAAAGGTGCAAAGGGCGGCGAACAAAGTGCCAGGAATCAAGAAATAATAAGGCGCAAAGAAGTTGAAGCAAAAAATATAAGTAAGTTATACACGCAAATAAAAAATAAAAGTGTTTCTGACTTATATTAAATATTTAAAAGCTTAGTTAGTTATTTAATAATACAAATTTGTATTTATAAAAATAACAAGTCCGTTCTCAATACACCAACCAAAAAAATAAGAAAACCAATTAGCAATAATCCTGGTATTTAATATGACAAAATAGTTTTGTTTTATAAGATTGGCCTTTTGATTTTTTTATTCTTTAATTACATTAAATTGTAATTTATATAATTTTATGTTTTTTTTTCTATAAGTTTTATTTTAATTCTTGTAAGAACACCTACAACAGCTACAGATTTTTGTAAGAACACCATCAGCATCTGCAGGTAAATCATTAAAGCTCCAACTGCGGGTCGGACTAAGCTGTAATTAATGAGCGAGTGGAACATCGTTGAGCCAGGCTCCGAGCAAATTAACTTTAACTGGCTGCTGAGGTGACTGAGGGGGTAAGAGGGGATAAGAGGGGTTGTGTTGGGGTCGAAGGTTGGGGTTCAAGTGCAATTAAAGCAACGCCGCATTTTGTCTTGTAATCATCTAACTTTTCTCCCCCTTTTTATTGCTGATACGAGGAAAAAGAAAGCGAAAACCGTGGGAAAAGTGAATACGGAATGGAGGGAAATATCTTTGGAATCGCCAAGGGCGCTGAATAAATAAGGTAAAGTCCACTTGCGAAAACTTGCGGAGTTTCCAGGTATTCATGGCAGGATTTATTGATGTTGGTTTGATTGGTTAAGCATAGCCAGTCATTTCATTGAAGTTGAAATGCAATTCAATTGGTTATTAGTTTGATTTGAGGTAGGATAATTTTAATTGGCATTAAAAAAGCTTAACCTTCTAACATGTAAATAAAATTTACATAAAATTGAATAAAGAGTAAGCTCGAGGCAATTGTATTATTTATAGAAACAAAATCTTTAAACGCTGGCCTAATAGGGCAATTTTTGTAAACTTCTAAATAAAATTATCTATCAGAGTTTAATTAAATGCATGTATAAATAGTCTCATGATTTTTAATTCGATTCCTGGAATTGTTTATTATACCGCTTCAACGAATCACAATTAATCTGCAGGAAAATCGATTAAAGAGCTCCTTAAGGTTTTTAGGGATTTATTCTCACCCCAACCCCTTTCCCTATCTTAATGACATATTGAAGCTAATCTCACTTTTGATTCTGCCGTTTTCTATTGATGTGAGGCCCTTTTCACTCCACCTCGTGACCTTCAGTTGCCACATCCTTATTAAGCTGTCTTTGAGTCTTTTGTTTGGGAAGCCTCAAAGTTTTCACGCCCACCTCTCTAGTTAATTATTAAGTAGGATACACAAATTTATTGTGAATACCAAGTCGAAAGTAACACAGCCGCAGGGCCACGCCCCCGCCCCCGCCCATTTGTTGTGTGCGTTGAGGTGTAAACGTGCGGATTTAGTGTCTCAGTGTCTGCTCCCGGCCTAGAAGATGTATATCAATGGGATTTTGGGGTGTGGTGTGGTCTATTCTCCAACTTTTAGCTCTTCTTTAACCTCATGGAATTTCCGCTTCGCCCCTCACTTTCCTAATTTTTGTTGCTGTTGTTTTGGTTTTCCTTTTCCTCAAGGTGAGCATTGAAAAATTGATGAGATTTTGTTTGCTTTGGTCTTGAAGCTAAAGTTTGTCGACACTTGAACTTTTCCATCCTGACGGTGGATTTTGAAAAGGATTTTGAAAAGCAATCTCCCCACAAAAGGCAATGAGAGAAGAGGCATAGAAAAAGAGTTTTCTTTTTAGATAGTTCAATTGGCGTAGAAAAAGCCAAACAGAAAAAGGGCAGCCCAAATGGGAAACCTGGGAAAAAAAATACTGTCACAAGAAATGTGACTGGGTTATATGGCTTATATACAGTTATGGTCAAAATAATAGTAAGAAGTAGTCTTTTATTTAAATTTGTACAAAGTGTTGTCATGTTTGGAGAACTGATGTTAAATGTAACTCCTTTATTTTAATATAATATGAGATGTTTAGTTCATCTTAAAATACAAATTCAATTTGGAACATTTGTTTTTTAAAGAATGGTTTTTCGTAATTAATGTAATATGTAGTCATAGAAATCGCATATCGAAGAAGGACACCTTCTGCTATTAGTTGTACCGCAGTTGTACACGCATTCATTTATTCATTCATATTCATGCTGGGGCTCACAGCAAAAAAAATATAGAAAAACGCCGGACATGAATTTATAACGAGTCTGCCTAAGCCATATTGATTGAGGCAGGGAAATAAAGCGACAGAAAGTGAGAAAGGGAATGAATAAAGGGGAAATGGACGAGGACGACTGAGACAGAGTTGACTGAGCACTTGGAAATTGCCAGCATTTCTCCAACATTTCTCCAACATTTCTCCCGGCGCAGCAAAGTAAGCAAGGAAAAGGAAATAACGGAAAGTCGCATGCAGGAAATCAAACTTCACTTTTGAATGAGTTTCGTTTGGAGCTCGCTTTACGGCCATAAGCCGATTTGCGGTCCCTTGAAGGCTTTGTTTTCTTCCCATCTGCTTTTCATGGTTTTTAATTGAATTTTTTAACCAGCCCTTGACTCGCCATAACCGAATTTGATCCGAAGTCTGAAGGGACCTTTGTCATCCCAAGGATATTTCTATATAACGGCACACACACACAAATGAATATCAATGAACTGTCATAAAAGCAGCATCCTGTTCGACCGGGAGAGCAACTGCTTTTGACAAGACTGACACGTAGGCAAACATTTAAGTACCCAACAACAACAACAACAGCAAATGCCTGCAAACACACACAAACACAACACTGACACACAAATTTCACACTTGACATGGACTCATAAGCGTGGATAAATGGTATTACAAAGGGGATTTTTTTCATTAACACATATTACATATATAGATAATTGTTTTATTAACAAAAATTTGTGTAAATATGAAAAACACTTTTTATAAAAGTATGTTGCATTAAAAGACACACTAGCTAACATAATATTTAATTTGCATGATTGGCTTGAAAGGAGTCATACGTTTGCTAAATTTGTTTTTATTTTACTTTTTAGAGCAACAGCTGATAAGAATGTTGCAACAAAGCTGTCAAATATTACCAACTTTATGGGTGTTCAAATAACAAATCTTTAAGAAAGTAGCTTGGCCCTAACTTACAGGCCAAAGAGTCATCCAACCAAGGTGTCGCATAAAACTTTCACAGCTTTTTGCCCGAAAAGGTCCACTAACCTCTCCCCAGAGAGACCTTTCGACCCCCTTTAGCTACGCCCCTCTTTGGGATGCCTATGACGAGCACGCTCGGGTCACTTTCGCCCTGCCAATGACATGTGATTTCAACTAATGACAGCTTTTCGGGCGTTTGTCATCGCAACAACAACAGGAACTCGTGGCCCAAACCAGATTTCGACCCTTAACAGACTGGGAGACAGACAGACAATAACAAGCTTAAAATTTAATGAAATTTTCATGTGCTGGCCAGAATTTCTTTGCGAGCCCATAATAATCCAATGTGTCCCGGCCTGTAACACATGGCGTATGATTAATGTGGATGAGTAAACCGGAAAAAAGGTTTCCAGAAAGTTGATCCATTCAATTAGTTTAACTTTTGTCAAATATTCAAAACTCCGAAATTGCTTCAATGGCACTCTTTTAGACACTCTCACACATAGACAATACTTTTATATTTATGTTTGCGAAAGAAAATGGTTTGAAAGCTGCCAGCATCAGAGTTTAAAACGGATATTCATTTTTTCATTCAGTATTGGCTCAGTAATCCACATTCTCTTCCTTCCTAACTTCTGTTTTCACATCTCACATTTTACAGTCCTGGTGGTGTCAATATGTATTTTTGATTAGCTGCCTTTCTGGGTCATGTCTTTTGACTGCCTCCCTGCGAACCCCAATACAAACTTGGAATTTACATACGTGTTCATTCAATTTTTAATGAGCTTTTAAGCAGAGCATAACTCATATGCATTTGGGGCACGACAATTTCCACTTACCGATATGTAAAATGAGAGTTCCTCGTTGGCTTTGAACATGTCAACTGCAAAGAGGATAAAGAGAATATGGTGATTATAAAATTTAGAACTTACACATTATAGGATTGTTGAGTTTATATTGTGTTGAGCATAAACGATTTTGTATTCATAGGGACTTTTTTACCACGCTAAGAACAATGAAATTTTAATTTTTGCAAGGCCTTAAATAAACTTCAATGAAAATGGTATTCTGAATTATTTATTTTTTTTTTTATTCGATGCCGAACATATTCAAGCCGAGTGAAAGCAAAGGCTGGAAATGAAAATATTCTAAACACTTAGGGCCAATGCACTATGGGGAATTTGCCCGATTTTTTGGAATAAATTAATAACTCGCGAACTATGTAACATATTTCAGTGAGGTTTTTTTTATAGTGTTCTACATACCTATACACACCTGTTGGAAAAGTGAAAGTATACCCCTCCCCCCCCACCCAATTTTTTATATTTTTTATAATAAATTTAGCTCTATATGCTCTTAATTTTCAATTTCAATGTTGTACAAAAAATCATAGTCGTTTTCTTCTTCATAATTATCAACATCTAGAGACTCGTCTCCAGGTTCATATTGGCATAATAACAATTGAATGACTTCTGGTGGAAGAGCAAGCAGCTTATGTTTTCGGACGCGCTTCTTCAAATTAATTGATGAAATGATGGGGTCTGAAGTAACCATGGCTCTCTGAAAAACATCTGTAAAGTTGGAGATTCAACTGTGGGATTAACTAGCTAGCTAACAAAAGTGAATTCGCCATCTTCTTTTTCTCGAAGACCCATTTGCTTATGCAAAACTTCCAGCAGGGCTGCGTTTTTGATCAAGAGATTGGTTTCTAAAAAATGAAATTACGCGAAAAGTCGCACGAAGCGCACGATGAGACAATATGTTCTGAATTCGCAATTAATGGCTCTACAACATAGATATAGACACTCACTGAACACAGTTAAACATTTTTTTAAAACTCTATTAGAAGTTTAACTTTCTTTCCAAACCCCAAACGAAAACATCACCTGCTACATTTACAAATTGTAAAAATTGGACGCACATATTAAGCAATATATAAGTATTTTTACACAGAACATACCTTGAGAATTGGTAATCATTTCAAATTTGACTGTCTTACGTCATTTTGTTGCAGAGATAATGATTTGAAAATGAGCTTCATAGTTAAGCAAAATGTAAACAAACCATGTGCGCTTGCAACAGCTGACTTTAACAGTTGGTATTTAAATACTAGACTTTTAAGTTAACATTTGCGGTATGTTACGAAACAGCTTGATGTTTTCTTAATACATTAAAACAAAAAAATTGAAAATTGGCATACTTTTAAAAAATACATTTATTCCAAAAAATCGGGCAAATTCCCCATAGTGCAATGGCCCAGATATCGTTTGCTCACTGATGCATTAAGTGATGCACTTCACACCACACTCACACACTTGCATACAAGTTTATACACCCACACATATACACGAATTTCCCGACACCCTCTTATTGGAGCTTTCATCGTTGACAAGCGCTCCTCTATTGACCCTAAACGCAGGCGAAATTGGTCGCTTGACTGATTGATTGATTGACTGATGGATGGTTGGCGAAATGGTTGATTGGATGCATCAATTTGAATCGGGATTTAGTTGTCAAGTGGATCGTGCACTCTCACGTCGGCACACCATTATGTCGGGCGATACTCGATTAGCACACTTTTTGGGGCCAGAGAAACTTAAGATTTGATTAGACGGTTTGCATTAGTTTTTCAAATAATTTGTTGAAATATTTTTAATTAAAAATTCTGTCTTGTACATTAATTATCTGATTATTAAATACTGTGCTTTAGCGATAATTTGTGCATAGACACAATAAGGGGAAATGCCGAACTGAAATTGTTTTTATCTTCGGTGCCCTAAATAAATAATACCAAATTTCTGTTTGTTTTGCCCATTTCAATAAAATAATTGTCCTTTTTTTTTCTGGTATCGATAGCACATCGTTGAATTTACGAGGTACATGGTATAAACCAGTGGTTATTACAAATACAATTTTACAAGTCTGGCATATTTGCAAGTATTAAGTGTGTTTCATAAAAACTTTTGCATTGCAAAAACAGGATTTTTTTGATTTCACATATTCAAGATTTTATAAAATACATAACATTACCTATTATAATTAGATGCTAAGTTCGCATAAATACATTAATCACCTTCTTTGGGTAAAACTTGAACTTTTCACATGATTGAAATGTACTTTCAAGTCACGGTTTTTGCTGCTGTTGTTCAGCAGCAGGTCAATGCTAAAGTACTGCCTTAAAAGTGACCTTTTGTTTGGCTCCTCGCCACAAAATATTATCCTCACACTCGCTTTCGTTACTTTCCCTCCGTGCGCTAATGTTAATGGCTTGTCTTGGCATACAATTGGCTGCTGTTGTTTTGCTGGTTTTCCTACCACAATGTTGGCCTAATTAGCAGCTCAAAGAGAATGGCTACTTTCCACAGTCACAGTCGCAGTCACACTTGCACACACACACACACACAGACAGCCACTCACATGGGCATTAGGGATAAGCCAAGTGTTGGCTTGCATTTATCACGAATACGCCGTGTTGGCCAAAAAACCACATTGTGTGGGAGGAGCAGGGAAATGGCAAAGAAACGCCGTCAGAATGGCGGTGCGGTGACTAAAAATGTAATTTTGGCATTAGTCGAGCTTGGCAAACATAAAATTACCTTGATTAGAAACTCAAATGTGGCTCATGCCAAATAAACGAGGGGGGAGATATGCCACGGGGATCTGGCGATTGCCACGTGGCCATATATGTACATATATCAGCACCGACCTAAGCCGAAAACGACTTTGGCCCGTGCCAAGACCACCCTCTCCACCCCGCCTTTGGGCCAACCTCAAGCCCATATATCAACGGGCACCTGTGCCAAAACGCGCTGCGGGGAAATGGGAATAAAGCCAGGCCGAAATGATGCTGCGTTGGGTGTTGGCCGCCATCTGAGGAATGGCTGAGTGGGAGTGAAAGTAGGAGTTTTCTTTGGTGTGAATACCCACATTCGTGCATCGCCTTTTACCTTGAGGCGAGGCAAGCCGCAATAAAAACCAAGCGTCACACATAAAAAAAGCTAAGAGGCAAATTTATGGCAAAGGAAAACAGTTAAAAGTCGAACAAGAAAATGCACTAAGGAGAATAAAAAAAATTAAGCAGGAAGTGCACATTAAAAAAAATAAGTTCTAATTTTTAGTGTCTTTAAATTTCTTTAATTTTACAAACAAAAGTACAAATACGCTTATAATATAAATAACGATATTATTAAAAGACATACACTTATTAACAAACACATATTATCCAACATATATTTCTTTTTAACTTGTATCATTCCATAATTCCTTTAAAACGTAAGCTGTTGTTTGAAGCCTTATTCGAAAATTCCACATGTTTTCCATACCCTAACTAAAGAAAACCTGAATATAAAGGTAACAACTGTGCAAACTGCTGAGGCATGGCCTCTTCTTTCCCGTCTCGCTCTTCCTCCTTATCATTCCGTATCAATTACAGAGCATATGTGTGTGTGTGTACGTTAACGTTTAGTTTTTATGTTTAGCCATAACAAACAGCAAAATGGGCAGAGGAAAAGGTGTTGGGTGGTGGGAGGAAACTTGCCGCAGACACAAGGCTAATCAACGAAATTGCTGCAGCCTTTTAGGAGGCCAAACAGGCATACTATATAGGGGTAACATATGGCTGGCATAACCCGAACTGAACTCCCTGTTCGACACTTCATGTTTTGATTAGAGGGCGTGGCATGATTGATGAACCATTGAATGACCCCTGGAGTACTGCAGTAAATCCTCCCACTTGTCCACGACTTTGTTCCGTGCCGGCAAACTTTGAATGAAATGAGTGTTATAAAGTTTTCTACCACCCCATAATCTCCTCTTGCAACATTGAAAAAATTTGCAATGCAGCATGAAAAGTGGCACAAAAGCTCTGACGGTAAAGTTTTATTCTTTGCTCGTTTTTTACACAGCAGCTAAAAATTAAAATGAAGCTAAGCAGCAGCTGCAGCAGTTTGCATAGTCGGGATTCTATCGCCATTCGGGGAATGGCATTAACAAACTTTCAGGTCAGCTAAGAGGCAAAGTTGCCAGCATTCAAGGTGAGTCAATCAACAAAAGGATTTCAGCAAGTTGCAGCTGCTTTTATTCAGGGCGTTTTTCGGATTTTATTTACCATCCGTTAAAGTGCTTAAATTGCTTTTGTAAAGGCTGGATTAACAAAATAGGCATTTTGTTGCCAAGGCATTTAAATACATACTGATAAATTGTAACTAATCATGCCTTCATGGTCTTAAGAAGTTTTTTTGTATTTCAATAATACCGCCCACATTTAATCAGTTGCTCTTATAACATGAATTAGATCAAGTCCTCCTTCTCTAAATGAGTTATTCAAGGATTCTCTTTATTCCACATGCAGATCAAACATATGTTCTCATTGAAGGACACTTTCAATACGAGCAAAGACCTCTCGACAGCACCAATCAACATTGCTATGAGCCAGCAAACAAAGCACTTGAAGTGCTCGAAATTCGCTTGGCTCTGTCATTAAGCGACAAGTCCAAAAGGACATACTTGAGCGAGTATAGACGTATTCTCTGAATAGATGTGGTACCATATTCAAAACACGCAACACTTGTCAGCAGCAGGCGTCGGCAATCATTCAACCTCAACTCACACTACACTCACAGCCGAAAGAAACAATGAACTGCACAGAAAAAAAATATTGGTTCCGGCTTATAGGAATAAAAAATAGCAAATGACAATATATTTGAGTTTAGAATTTATAAATGAAAACTCATTGTTTTCGTTTATACATAATGACACATAAAAACACTTTTTTGTAAAAACAATCTAACAACAACAATCTAAGAGTTCATATGTTCTTACATTTTTCAATTAAGAAGAATAAACATTTATTTTTAAATACAAATTTGAATATGGCTACATTTT